AAATATTTTTTTCAATTTTTGAATAAGGTAAGGAAAAAAATTAGTAGTCTGTCCTGCCTTTTTACAAATCTATAAAGAAACAGTCCAGATGCCACTTTTTCTCTTTCAAAGTGTTTTTCTTACAAAGATTATAGCCCGTCTTAAGATTTTATAGTTTCAGCATGAAATATTTGAAGATAGATTCACCATGCATTTATTACGTATCTCTAAAGTGCTGCCAATTTTTCTATGATTTAAGAGGGAAAATTTTCTAGTTATAGCTAAGTTTATGTTTCTATAAAATGACTTCCTGCTTTGCAAATTTAATTTACAATTATTTTCTTTCACTCCACTACATGTAAATGATTCAAAAATTTATATGAAGCACCACATTATTCTTGCTTTCCCTTAATGAGGATTTTAAAATACGGCCAAAATTGCTAGATGTTCTAAATGCTTTTGTCATTAACCGGTTAACGCCCAGCGTCATATATTTAGGACAGTTCCTTTTTTCAAAGACATTCATTGTGGTGGGAAAATTTTTTCAGTATTTTCATTTATCTGGGTGAATTAAAAGATTCTTAGATTCCACAATAATTTAGTTATTTCTGATTAGATCTAGAATAATAAGGAGCAAGTACTTTTTGATCTATCAAAGACTTTTTGAATGCTCTAATTGTAGAAAAACCAATTAATTTCGATAATATTTTATACCACTTTTTCCATAAAACCACTTTTTGTATCATTTCAATATATAATTTCGGGACAAAACGGGTTAATTGTTCACGACTATAAATTGTTTTGCAAAAATGCATCGTAGTTGGGAGCCTTGTTTCTTTAATTAAGACAACCCCTAAATCAGAACTTAACAATCTGTATACTTTAATTTTCTTCCATTTTCTGTGTAACTAAATTCTCATATTCTCAGTAACTTCTCAGTAACTAAAACAGGTTGAGGCTATTCCGAATCATATTTTTACAGGAAGGAAACAGTAATAGAATTTTTTAAAACAGATTTATTTCAAAAAAAAATAGAATTTAAGTTTTCTTCATCTTTTGTTTGTTGAGATGGGCACCTGGGCCGCGCAGCGGCCCCTATCCCATTCGTCATGTTTGTTAAAATAGTTACGATAGGAATTTATGAGGCCAGCAGTCTAAGCAGAGATGCCAACTGCTCCGGACAAGCCAAAATAATTAACACGTTCACGCCGGGAAAAGTGAAAATACTGGTACGGGAAAAGAGAAAATACTGGTAGAAGAACTATTTCAATATTAGATAATGTTCGGGAGGAGTTAATCTATTCTCAACAATAACGATTCACTGTAAGGAAATTTATCACGGCGAAGAAGCAATTCAATATAAAAATTGCATCCGTTAAAAACAATTGGTAGTTATGGATTTTTATTATTCCCGGAAAAAAACTAAAAAAGGAAATTTATTGTTACCAGTTTTTACTCCGGTGTACTGCCAAGAAGAGACAATCTAGCGTGACCCACCGGTGGGTCACCCAGGCGTGAACGTGTTAAAGAAAAAACGGCAAATAACTACAAAGTAAATTTTCAAATATTTGACTACTTTTGAAAAGGTATAGCATGACATAAGTACTAAAAAGTGGTGAATTATATACGCCTAAGAATTATTAAGAAATAGAGGTGGATAAAAATTTACTAAATTGAATTTATTAGACCAAGAATCACAATTGATAAACTACCACTTGAAAATATATATTTGCTTACTGGAGCAAGTAGGCATCTCTGTCTACGTGGTGGCCGTTAGCTAAATTTAACTTACTTCTTTCTTTTCTTTATTTAAACAAAACTGGGTGCTTAGGCCGCGCAGCGGCCCCTACCTCATTCATCATGAAAATTATATACAGTGAATAAAACATTTTGAATTAAGTAACAATGTGGTAACATTATAATAAAGTAACCATGATTAGAAGTATGTACAAACTTGATCGGAGAATTACATTAATTGCCATTGAGAAATGAATACAGGCATTATTAGATGGATATACATGAAATACGAGCTTAATCTGTGATATTTACATTAATTGCAGTAGAAATTTGGAATTGAGCATTAAAAATTGATGATAGCACATATACAGAAAATCGGGATTCAAAATCATAAAGATTCTACATAAATTTTGCAAAGTCTTAGTGGCGCTATCTAGCATGTTTTAATGATTTGTGGTAGCCATAAAAAAGTCAAGCCGTTTACTTGTGAAATAATAAAACAATGAAAAAATTCAATATGACAAATTGGCGTTTTTACATAACACTAGAAATATTGATGGTAGACTTAAATTAAAAATAAAGATAAAATATGATTTGATATGTACAATAATTGATTTTTGAAAAATGAAAGACATAATTGATGAATATAGATAAATCATACCTTGATATATGATAAAATAACATATTTGGAGAAAATGCAGTAAATATATTTTATCAGAGAAATATTGCTCTTTAAATACAATAGAATTTGCAAAAGAATTTAACGTGCATAAGTTAATAAATATGTATGCATAAATTGGCTATATTATCAGAAAATAATGTAATTTAATTTAACGTAAGTAAAAGTCTGCAGTGAAAAGTTCAGTGAATTTAACTTTAGAGTCTTGAAAATAAAAATGGAACTCACTGCGATTGAGATGTTTCTCCGATGATCCCCCGCAGAAGGCGGAGCACTTCTTCATTTTTGAGCAATTCCTGTAATTCTTTGATTAATGACACTAATCGGTGAGCAAGTTTAGGCGTCAAATTTGATGTTGCTCGAGGGCTCCTTCTGCTGGGGCGGGTCTCGCACCCAGTATAGTTGGCTGTGTGGCTTTTGTAACAATTACAGCATTTTGGAGGTGTTGTTCTGTCTTTGTTGCATTCATGAGACCTGTGGTTTTCAGCACATTTTACACACCTTGCAGGCGCATTGCAGTGGCTTTGCGTATGTCCATAATTTTGGCAGTTGTAACATTGTGTAGGTCCTCGACCTCCTCGAAATCTTTCGATTTTGATCGGAATCTGCTGTATGTTGTTGACTTCGAATATTCTTTGGTGATTCGCCGTTGATGTTAGGATTATGAGAAAGAGTGGAAGGAGCCGATAGGCCTCTCCCATTCTCTTCTTAAACTGCACTATTTTAAAGGTTTCAACGTTGTTTTTCTGTAATTCTGTATTGATGGCATCTGTATCAAAGTCCACAGGCAGGCCACGGACCAAAACCTTAATAAATCTAGCTTGCGGTGTTATTTCAGGTTTGCTGGGCGGATCCCGTACTTTGTCGGTATCCTCCTTAGGTTTTGTTGTCGGCAAGATAGTGACGTCATGTGTTGAGTTATGTTGGCTAGAAGAAGGACAGCTGTTTGTAGACATGAGTGTAGAGTTATCTACAATTGTTTTGACTGCATTTTGCTTTTTCTTCTTCTTTTTTCTTTTCTTTGCTGGTGGTTCTGTATTATTGTTGATATTGATGTCCGTGTCAGTTTCTGTATTTGGTGTTGTATTCAGGTTTTCATCTTTATTTTCCATGGTTATGTCGCCAGTGCTTGGATTAGTTTCAGTCATTATTGATTCGACTTGAATGGATTTTTTATTCATCTCCTTGTTTTCTTCTGCTTGAATTTTCCTCTTCCATCTGACGTGATAAGCTGCATTTGTCAGTTTTAGGAAGTAATTGTATTCGTAGTCTCCAGGGTAACTTGATCTTATTTGAATTAGCAGTTTGCTAAGTAATTTATCTAAACGAATCGGCTCCTCTGTATCAAACTGAGTGTAAATAAATTTAACTTTCTTACTTACTTTATTTAAAATAAATTGGGTGCCTAGGCCACGCAGCGGCCTTTAACCCATCCATCATGAAAATGATACAGTGTATATAGTCATTTTGAGTTATATGATAGTATGGTTACATAATAATATTGCCATGACTAGAAAGTACAACTAGATCGAAGGTTTACATGAATTGCAAAGAAAATTGAAAATTGCCATGATTAGATAAATTTAACTTTCGTGAAAGTAAACTTAAATTTATCTGTTTAAATTACTTTTGTTTAGTGGTGAACAGTATTATTTTAAATCAAATTTATTGAAATATAAATACTTTAACTTTGCTACCAATAAAAAAATATTTTCTGAAACTATATAAAGCATGATAGTCATGCGTAGTCATTGTATAATGATACATACCCAGAGATGCCAACTGCTCCGGACACGTCAAAATTGTTTAAAAAACGGTAAATAACTACAACTAAAATTTGCAAATACTTGACTAATTTTACTTGTTTTTTAAAAGGTTTAGTATAACTTGACTATAACAAAGTGGTGAATTATATAAACCTTCGAATTCTTTAGAAATAGTGGTGGACAAAAACCTAATAAATTGAATTTATTAAACCAAGAATCGCAATTAATAAACTACCACTCGAAAATATTTATTCTCTGTCCGGAGCAAGTTGGCATCTCTGCATACCCTCCAACTGATGAGGATTTTGAAAATAATTCTTTCTAGTGGAAGCGAACCAAAGTAGAAATTTTTAAAGCAAATGGATCTCTCATAAAACTTTTATCAGAACTTATGAATCTAGCCATATGGCCTGCACTTTTATAAGTAATAGTGGACAAGTTACGCTAAAATTAATTTTTTTTTAAATATTAAGACATTAATTTTGCTACCGTCTGAAAAGAAGATTTCTGAAACTACGGAAATTTCGTAGCAGTTGGAGGGTATGAATGATAGGTAAAGTCGCTGCATTGTAATACATGCTTGAAGCAGAGATGCCAACTTGCTCCGTTTTGCAAAATAGTATTTTCTTGCGGTAACAAAATGTAAGTTATTTTTGGTTTAGTATTTTTAATTTTAATTAATTTTTCCACCACTAAATATCAAAAATGATAAGAATCATATAACATGCAACCTAAAAGCATTAATTAATTGGTTACTGTTTTTTTAAACTAGGCGTAACTATGCTGATTTTACAAGTTATACTATATAATTCGCTACCACTTAATTAAAACTTTTCTAGAGAGCGGAACACTTGGCATCCCTGCTTGAAGTTTTCACCTTTCGACTATCTTATTATTAGATATCAACTATGGAAAATAGCTACGACACTATGATGGCGGCTAAAGGTTTCCTGCCTTACAAGATGGGTTACCTGACTGATTGGATGGCGAAAAAAGCAGAGGAAGAACTAAATGAAACTGAAGAAAGTCGTGCACAGGCTCTCACAGAACTCAGGAGATTGATAGCAAGTATGGTGTTGAAGAATTTTATTTTAAACGAAATATCTCTTAAGTTATCTTTTCTCAAGAAGTGCTCGCACTTCCGATTAGAGATAATTTTGAAATTTCATCATTAGCGAACGGGAATTATTTTTTTCAACTGAATTTTGCACATACGAAGCGTTCACTTCAAGATTAATTTGGAAGTGATAGCTGATTTAGTTACTGATTTTTAAATTTTTTAAAATTTTTTCTAAATCTGGCAATCCTGTTACGAAAATATTTTTTAAATCATTCTTGAAAAATTTCCCGTTCGTGTAAGTACATTTGAATTCGCTACTCGCTTCATAGATTTTGTTTTATTCTGTTTTTTCTTTTATTTATTTTTTTCTGTTTTTACGTGTTATTTTTACTTATTGTGTTCTATTTTATTTGTTGTAATTTTTGTAAAAAAATTCTTAAGTGCTCCTCACACTATTGTATTAATATATTTTGCTTTGGCTATATTGGTACAATATCAGAAAGTACTCTTTCTTGCAGATATAATCGTGTGGGCTGATAAAAAGTTTATATATTTTATTTTCCGGATTTTTTAAAAAAATTTCATCCTTTTTTTTCCCCTGTTGTTTGTTATTTTTTTTATTATTATTTTTCTTCCCCTCCCCTTTTTCATATGTCTGTAATTTTCCTTTGTTTTATCTTCATTTTGAACTATATATNATATATATATATATTTGTTGCAATCAATCACATAGTTGTGGCTAATTAAGTGGTTGTTCAGGTTGAGTTAAAGTTACAGCTTTAAGACCAGGGTTTATTATTACGCTAAATCCATTCTTGGATTGGATTCGATTGGATGCCTACAAGGGACGTCACATGTGTGTGTCCAACTTGATTGTCTGGCCCGCGCGTGATGGGCAAGAAATGTATTCTTTCGTCGCTAGAGGGCGCCTCTCCATTGTTAAACTACATTAGCGTTTGGAGTGTAATTTTCTTTTCATTTATCTGCATTTTCTTAATCTAATGTTAGTTTTACGTTTCTGAATAATAACTGTAAATAATTGCCTTTTAAAAAAAATCCAAAAATATCTACTCAATAGTTATTTAATGATTTTGAGTCTAAATTGTGGCTCTCGCTTTGGTATCAATTTTAATGAATGGTATTATATCAGGTATAAATGGAAATCACATAAGGCACTCTGCGTGAGTGTTTGGAAACGTTTCGTGAATCTATTACCTTACTAGGTCAGGGAAGAATTACGTAATTCCTCATCAAAGTGTAACTCATGATATTTTTCATATATTTTCGTGACGCAAATATGTTAGTATATCTGTTTCACTGGAATAAATGTAATTAATGAATAATTTAGTCACTGATTTTTAACTATTTGAAAATGTACAAGATATTTTCTTGGTAAAAATGCCAGCGTAGCACCCAAAATATTCAAATTTTACCGCTTTCTAGCTCGTATTTTTAAAATGACAAAATTTGGCATTAAATTATTTCCTTTTTAAAATTGTGTGACAAAGGCATTAATAATACAAATCTTATTTTTTGACCCAAAACTATGAATTTTTATAATTAGCCTATCTAATCAAGTTTTCATCGGCGCTAATACCAAACTTCTTTCTTCGAAATGGTTCTTTTTGCAACACTACAAAATGTTACGAAAGCATCAGCGATGATCGGGCTAAATATATAACCAGTTTTCTTCATGATGCTAAACATATATTTATAATGTCGAAAATAACTAAGAAATTGAAAAACGGTTGACTAAACGTATGTTCAACATTCAAATAAAAAAATTGAATTGCCTCTATTATTCTTTACCATAAAACATAGAAAAAACCTACTATAGCTGATTTCTGGTGCAATAGCTAAAATGATGTATGAATATTATTCTAGCTGCTTTTCTATTTAATGTCTCTTGATTTTTTTTAATGATGCATATTATAATTTCTAACCTCATATCATTATTCAAATATGTCCATTGCAGAAGAAAGAAACCTGGAAATTTGGACTGATGACTCTTACTTGCTGCAGTTCCTACGAGCAAGAAAATTTGATCCGGAAAGAGCGATGGAACTCATTCACAATTTATATACAATGTTTAAGGACAATCCTGATATATACCCTAAGCAACTTGACACGAGCATAGCAGATACTATTTGTGAGGCAGACGCTGGTGGTGCCTTTCCCTATAGACATAAAGATGGTGGCGTCGTCGTTTTTTTAAAAGCTGGTGAGTGAGAGCAACATTGTCATTCATAAATTTTTTGGAATTCTTCACAGCACCATTTCCTCTTGAAGTTTTGTGCTTAAATATTTTTAAGATTGAGATTGGATTAGGATAAAAAGGAACTTATTTAGCTTATTAACTAGATTGATAATTACTAAATCTAAACTAAGAGAAAAATGAATTCCAACGAAACGCATGATTTGTAATATAAATGGAGATAGATCTACAACAAAAACTATGGCCAGGCTGAGAACCAATCACCACAGAGGCATGAAGATCGACAGAGAGGGTAGGAAAGTATATAGGAATTGTAAAAATTGCCCAGATACACAGCTGACACCATGCCACATCTTTGAGTGTCCAGCAATGAGTGCTAATCTGAGAGAAATAGGAGTCTTGCCGTCATTGATTGACCTTTATGACGATAACATCAAGCAAATCGCAGAAGCAGTAATCAAGACTCATGGAAACATTTGATTCGGCTATGTCATAGACACGACGAAAAAAAACTAGATTGATTTGATTTTTAAATCCCTTTTTTTCAAGTAGAGATAGGTTGGATTTTCAAAATTCTTACCTACTCTACAAAATTTGCCATACACTTGAACTTAGGAGTTGTCGAATTTATAAATTATGCTTTTATAAATTTACTTCTCATTTACAAATAAGAAAATAGCTTTTCATTGACCTTTAAAAAATAAGTAAAATTTCGTGGAAATAATAATTATATTATAAAAGGTTAACTGCTCCGGACACGCCAACATAATAAAAAAACGGTAAGTAACCAGAAAGTAAATTTTGCAAATGTTTGACTATTTTTGCTTGCTTTTTAAAAGGTATAGCATGACATGACATAAGCAGGGATGCCAACTTGCTCCGCTTTGTGAAATAGTATTTTCTAGTGGTAACGAAATTTAAGTTATTTTCAGTTCAGTATTTTTCATTTCAAGTAATTTTGTCACCACTACATATCAAAAATTATAAGTATCATATAAAATGCAACATTAAAACCTTAATCTACTGGTTACTCTATTAAAAAGTAGACGTAACTATCCTTTCTAACGAATTTTACTATATAATTTGATACCACTTTATTAAAAATATTCCAGAAAGCGGAGCATCCCTGCATAAGCAGAGATGCCAACTTGCTCACGACAGCGAATAAATATTTTCGAGTGGTAGTTTATTAATTATAATTCTTGGTTTAATACATTCAATTTATTAGGTTTTTATCCACCACTATTTTTAAATTGTGTTGGTTGTAAACGTAAATGTTTCTAATTACAATCAACACTAAAACAAGTATCTCATAGAACAAACTCTTTTACTACCACAAGTGTACACAAAGAATATATACATGTTGCCAACAAAAGAATAATGTAAGAAATAATATAATAAATAATATAATAAATAATCACCGCATCTGCGTTCACGCATTTGCGCCTGGTAATCACTGCATCTGCGTTCACGCACTTGCGTCTGGAACATTCTCCCCACCCTGATCAACCTCAAGAGGAATGATCAGTTGAACAACAGGTCGGGAGATTTCTACTAGATGATGCAGGTTGTGAAGGTATGGTTGGAAGTCTTTTACCGGTAAGAAAATGGGATGGTGTTAATGTTTCTTCAGGATCATCATTTCCTTGTTCATAAACTAACGGTCGACTATTTAATGCGGCTTCAACACCAACTAATGCTGTAGAAAGACCTTCTTCATCTAACAAGGTTCGACCTAGGGATTTTCGCAAACATCTTTTTGTTAGTCCGATCAAACGTTCCCACCATCCTCCCCACCAAGCCGCTCGTGCAACAATAAATTTCCACTTAATTCCCGTCTGGGCATAATATTGCTGAACTTTTGACGATGTTAAGTTGTCCCATAAAATGGATAGCTCTTTATTAGCGGCATGGAAAGTAGTGGCGTTGTCAGTGTATATTGTATGAGGAATTCCTCTTCTGCCAACAAATCTTTTTAGGGCCATGAGAAATTTGTCAGTAGTGAGGTCAGAGACTAGTTCGATATGTACGGCACGAGTAGTTGAGCAAGTGAAAAGTGCGATATAGGCTGTATTTAAAGGTTTCAAGTTACTAACATAAAGTGGGCCGGCGAAGTCTATGC